GGAATAGATGCCCAGTCATACATGTTGAACTAAAAAGGCACAACATGTATTTTCAAGGCAATAAAGAGTTAAAGACCTACAGGATTATGTGATTTCATATATGGTTTGCATTTGTTATTTGTATAACCTATAATATGTTCTCTTATAATTTTATCATTACATATTTTATTAACATATTTTTTACCTATAACTAATTATCCCATGCATGTATAAATTTATATATATATTTTATCAACCTAAGCATGCGAGCAATCATAATATGCAATTCAATGCAAATGCCATTCAAATGCAATTCAATGCAAATTCAATTCAATTCAATTCAATGCAATTCAATGCAATTCAAATGCAAATTCAATTCAATGCAATTCAAATGCAATTCAATATATTTATAGAAATCAATTCTCATGCATGTGCATATAATTAAAGGTCCAGATGACCCAATCAATGACCGAATTATAACCGAACCCCTAGCCGAATCACCGAACTAATGAACTCAAAGGTCATAAGGACCAAATTATATGCACAAAAATTCCATCCGATTCGGATAAACCGTTTTATACCGAAGGCGAAACACTGCCGAACTATATTAACCTACAAATTTTTCTAGTGGTCAAAACTATACATGAACTGAGCGCAAGCGCGACCGACGCCTCTATGCAACTGAACTATCATCTTAGACTCTAATCTTCTAACAGAAGACAAGTCTGAGATACAAGTTCAGGATTTCACCAAGATGATAGTCCAGTATACATATAGAGCACACTCGTCTACCAAACTCTGTATAAGTGAAATCGTATCCTAAACCTAGCATGCACATTGATTGACCACCAGACTACACAAACCTTACAACATCTTCTTTCTTGTGAATCCGATGGGAGGCAATATTTTCACTACAGTATTTATCACTTTAAAGGATACGCTGGATATATTGCCTCGTCTTTGGCTGCGTTAACTCGGCGGAGCTTCTGCGTCGGTTACAATATCATCTTAAATTCTTCAATAATTCTTCTTCATTTAGTCTTCTATATATTTTCCACACATTTTGGAAAAAAAAACCCTCGGGATTTGAGGGATATAGTACAACCTGAAAAAAGATTATGAGAAAATAATAAGCTAACCAGATTTCATTACCAATACCATGACATTTCATTTTTGTGTTCAATGACAAAATGTTTGTTTTTGCACGACCAGCAAAAAAATATGTTGAAATCACATTGAATGACCAACCTATTGTGTGATATGATTTTTTAACATTGTAAATATAAATATAATTGAAAGCAAAATAAGCTTTGGCAGATGCAATGCACTTCAGGTCATAAATATATATCATGTGTGTTGCTATTAGGGACGGCCATTAGAAATCCAAGGATGGGGGGTAATTACACTGCCCCCCCCCCCCAGAAAAAGAAAGTGCAAAGAAAAATCCCATGCACAGTCAGTATTAATATTCAGGAAAAAAATGGTGCAAGCTATATTCATTTCTGTAAAACATTAAAAGAAAAAAGTTTTTGTTTGCTTGGAGGGGTGTAACTCCTGTGGGGGGGGGACACCCCCTCAATGTTGTAATATTGCAGTTTTGTCAGGCAATTTTAATGACACACTTTGTCAGGCAAAATGTATGTAACTCAGTGCCCAATCACTAAAAATGACCAATCACTAAAAGTGACAAAAATATTACTGAAAAATTTTGGGAAAAGAAATATTTTAAAATTAGCAAGACTAGACAAGCCAAGACTTTTGCCACGCCCTTTTGGTCAGACAAAACAAGCTCACACGCTCCTCCCCCCTCCCAAGTTATGGTCCTGTTTGCTTGCACGTTTTGGGGGGCAAATGTCACCCACCTTCCTGGGATTTTAAATTGTCCGCCCCTTGTAGTGTTATTTTGAGCATTTTGAATATTTGCAAATAATTATATTGGTGTAATAAAACTATATTGTATTGTTCAGTCATACTTACATCCAATGAGAACAGGTACGGCTTGGGTTTCGGCGTCTAAATTAGCTTAATTCGCTGAAACTCCACCCTAAAATACAAAAAAGCAACGTTAGTTATCTTGGAAGGTTTTTGAAGTATATTTTACAACAAAAACTGTCAGAAATCTGAGCTGGTGTTTTCGCTAAAGCGAACGAAGGCGAAAGCAAATTCGACCACGTGTCTCAACATTCGTCGTGCTCGAGTGCTTGTCTCCCATTTCGGCAGAGATATATGTCGTGCAAAAGCACAAACCAAACACAAACGGTGTATTTTTATACCTGTTCTGTCCACGAAGTCACTGTGTTTGTGGAAGAGAAGCTAAGCGTGCTTTCTCTTCAAAGCCAAGTATGCAACGCGAGACAATTTTGACCAATTCTGAACGTAACTTTCGGCTTTGTTGAATTGATCTTGTCCACAGATTTCGTCTACGTTTGAACGTTTCAACTCGTCAAAACTCTATCTGAATTAAAACAGAAGCAATGTTAGCTATCTACAAAGGTTTTTAATGCTTTTTAAACGAAATACG